AAACAAAACAATTTATTTGAATACTTTAGAAAAACATAATATAGAATTATTAACATTATCTACGATTTTGTTTGGTACACGACATCACTCGGTTCAAACGTTCAAAAAAATTTTTTACCTTCTATTTGACGAAGAGGGAAATAAGACATTTCGTTGGACTACACTAGAAAGCCATGATATCAATTTTTCCATTTTATCTAAAATTTTAAGAACATCAGGAAACGATGCTCCTAAAAAATTTGTAGAACTATATGGTCTTTTATTTGATGATCAGGGAAACAAATCTCGTTATGTAACAATTTTAGAAAAAAATAATGTTCCACTGGCAGATCTTGTAAAGGTTTCATATGGCAAAGTTTCGCATTACCTCAAAGTAGTAACAACATTGTGTAAAATGTTTTTCGATGATAAAGGTAATAAGAAAGAAAATTTAAGAGTTTTTGAAAAAACTGGAGTTGATTTAAAAGACATATTTAAAATTTTAATGCATTCGACCAAAAATCATACGCTCATTCTTGATGACTTGCAACAATTTCTATCACACGAATTCGGTGCGAGTAACCCGACGCGACTAAAAACATGGACGGACGCAGGTATAGAAATGAGCAGATTCCTGAGTTTAGCGACAAAAGCCACAGCAAATAATGTTAACGCAATATCTCATTTTTACAACCTTTTGTTTGACAAAGAAGGGAATCCTACAAAGTACATCACCACTTTACAAAAGCATGGAGTCAATTTTCCAAGTTTTTGTTATACTTTCCGCTCATCTTCTGACGTAGTCAAGTCATATAAAGATTTGTACGATTTTTTGTTCGACGAAAACGGAAATGAATCAGTTTATTTGCAAACATTAAAAAAAAATTGTTTTAGAATATTAGACATTTTTAATATAGTTTTTAATAAAGGTACAAAGTCTGTGGAAAACTTTAAGAATTTGTATGATCTTTGGTTCGATGAAAAAGGGGAAAAAACCATTTATGTGGAAACTCTTCTTAAAAATGGTATAACTTTAGTTCAATTGTCTAAAGTTTTAAGAAAAACTCGTCAAAATATGGTGCAGGATTTTTTAACTTTATACAAGATGTGGTTCGACGATAGAGGGGAAAAAACAGAATATTTGAAAGCCATGGAAGAGCATGGAATCAGTGTAGCTAATACATTTGATTTTTTCCAAAGAACAGAACAAAATTCCGACACTTTTCAAGCTGTGCTACACCTATTTTTCGACGAAAAAGGAAATAAATCAGATTACCTGTTGACTTGTGAGAAATATGATATTAGTTTACTAACAATTTTCGACTTTCTAAAAAGAACAAAATCGAACACAGTGAATATCTTTGAAGAACTGTATGATCTTTGGTTTAGTAAACACAAAAAGAAAAAGTTATGTTTAAAAATGTTGAACAATGAAGGAGTGAACTTATCCGATATGTCAAAAATTCTAAGTGGCTCTGGCCTACAAACTCCAAATGCATTTAAGAAATTGTGCGAACTTTGGTTCGACAACGAAGGAAATAAAACACGTTACCTTAGGATTATCAACGAAAATGGCGTTCCTTTGATTGACATATGTCGCATCTTGGAAGGAGCCAAGTCTAGTGCCTCGAAAACTTTTAAAGATTTGTTCGATCTTTGGTTCGATGATGAAGACAACAAAACTACGTATCTAAAGGTTGTCGAAGAAAAAGTCATTAATTTAAGCAATACATGTAAAATACTAAGCAGTACTGGATCAAACGCTGTGACTTACTTTATGAAATTGCACGACTACTGTCTCAAACACGGCGATGTGACGAATATATATACCATTCGTTCGAAACTTCGTGTAAGAGGCGACGTTATACTGTAAAAACTTTTGTTAAATCACAAATTCATTGAGTTCAATGTCTTGTAGTATGTATAAGAATAAAAACTATTTTTCTACGAATAAATTATTTTACAAGAATTATGAGTTTAAGTTATTTGCGATAAAATCTTTATAATTTAAATCCCATTATGTATCGATTTATCTAAATATCCAAAAGTTTATTGAGTATTATTGGTGAGCCTCGAAAGCATTAACCACAAATTAACGTTGATAGCATTTCAGGAGATGAGAAAAATTAACGAATTAAAAATATTTAAAAGTTAAAAAGTATTTCTGAAATTTTTCTTGCGTACCTATACGGCCTACGGTAATAGAACCATTGATTTATAAAAGAAAGACCTCATTCTAAGCAGGGGCAATTCGGGCAGTAAAGCTCACGCTCACGTAGAAAGAGCGGTAATGAAGTCGATGGCCAATAGATATTGGGTACTTATTTTGTTTGTAGTCGGTCGGTCGATTCATCGGTCCGATTTCTCTAGAATGTATATCTATATCCGTAGTGAGTATATAGATATACTTTCTTGAGGAGTTGGACTGACCGATCGACTACAAAAAAAAAAAAAAAACGTAAGTACCCATTACATACAATAAGAGTAAACTACTGAATTATTGTACGTCCCAATCAAGCTTTTAAACAGCGTATAATTGTAGAGATACCCAAAAAGTACAATAAAATTTACATTTTTTTGAATGTACCGTTAGTAAAAATTTTAATAAATAGAGGATATAGCAAAAAATGATTAATTTTCGATTTATCAACTTTCTAGTTATGAACGTGATTATGAAAAAATTAATAAAAATAATTGAAAAATGTATTGTCGTAAGATGTGCTACTTACTCTTGACACTAAACGTCGAAGTCGACGAATTTTGGAGATATGAAGGAATGAGAATAAAGCCAATGAAGGTATATCGCAAAGCAAATGGCGCGACCGTGCCCTAGTGAAAATGGCGTCGTTCACGCGTAACAGTATACTTATATGTACAATCCCAACGTGTGTGCCTATACATATTCTATATATAAGTGACTTGCATGTAATGTACAGTGGAGGCCGTCTAATTCGTTGAGCGGGAAATTCTAATGTTCGATTCCCATTGGCTGGTTCCATCACATAACCTCTTTCATTGGTAAATTTGCTCCCCGCTCAACGAATTGAACTGCCTCCAGTGTACAAGTATACTATTAGGCTGCGTATACATGGAGTCTTGAACTTCCAGGACCAGCCATAAACCCGTGTGAGTGCAAGTGAGAAGGAAGAACATATTACTCTCTTTCTCGCACTTACACAGGCAAATGGGCTGGTCATGGAAGTTCAAGACTCCATGTACACGCAGCCTTATGAGGCTCTTTTAGTCAAGCTTGAATCAGATGGCACCAGGGCACGTCGCGGCTGTCATGGCCGTCTCACTCACAAAACATTACTGTTCAGTATTGTATGTATATAGGAAATTAAAGTGTAGTGGTAAAGCGCAATATTTGAAATTTTGAAATGAATAAGGAAGACAAGAAAGAATATTATGGGAGCTTAAAAGTTTCAGAATTGAAAAAGCTTTTAAAAGGGAAAGGAGCAAGAGTCAGTGGAAGAAAAGCAGAACTCCCAATCTGTCCCAATTGCTTCGAGCCACTTTTTTTTTATCACACTATCAGAAGGAAATTTAAATTTCACTTTCTTATCGCAGGATATTACACTGCACTTCATTTTTCCTACTATCTTTAAACGTAAATGCAAACAAAAATTGTCTGCAAACAACAGCAATCATTTACAAAGGTTATGTCTTCTGCTTTGCTCATCACACAGATAGGCTCACGGACACAATACACAACTGTAAATTTGACGGTGTGTAAGTGCGACGGCCATGACAGCCGCGACGTGTCCTGGCGCCATCTGATTCAAGCTTGACTGTAAAAGAGCCTCATACGCGTGAACGACGCCATTTTCACTAAGTCACGGTCGCGCCTTCTGACGAATGAGCTTCATGCGACATACCCTTATAAGTATATAAGTATACCTAAAAAACTGATTTTAAGAACTAGTGAAATATAATTATTTTGACTATAAAGGAATGAAAAAACCTTTTTTCCGATGTAGATACTGGCATATTCACACAAAATTAAATTTGTGTGCGTTAATAAGGAAAGAAAAATGAAATGATAAAAATTGGAAGATGTTTAGAATATTGTAGTTTATTTACAAAATGTATCAGTCATAATTAACACGGTTCGTTCTTTCTTACTGCAAAACATAACCTTGTCCCCTTTTTTAAGTACAAGGATCAGTTAAATGAGTTGTGACCAGAGAATATAAATATATACTCTTCTCGCAATAAGAGTATGGTATATTTTGTCTGCTGTGACTTTTGAGCCACCATTTTTTTTTTTTTTTTTTTTCGATAACAATTTTCTCATCATAAATATTTTGATGTTCATTCAAACAAACGTAATTGGCTCGTAGAATATAATAAAATAAAGCAAGAATTACAATAATTAATGTAAACAATGTAATTTTTCTTCTTAAGTCGATAAATCAACTATTTAAAAAATTGTTAATAACTAACAATTTTTTTCAATGCCAAGAACTCAATAACCCTACAATCTTATTTAAAACAGTCCTAGAAACTTTAATAAAAAATCAGTTCCATACATTTTTCACTCAGGTTGTGTCAGAATCACGAGCTAGAAATCACAAGCTTCGATTAAATTGATTAATTTTTCGTACAGAATAAATATTGATGAAAGAAATATCGGAGTTCTTGATTAAACTACATTTTTAGGTATGTGTAAATGTGTGCACGCGTTTTAAAAATGTTTACAGTATAAGCAACCATACGAAATCAAGTTCATAAAGACAAAAAAGTTTACGTTTCCGTTAATATCTTTTAGTTAAATTTGATGACATGTTCATCTGATGAAAATTTTCCCAGCTTTTTGAACTTAGTTTTTAGTTATTTCTGACAAGGGAATTTTTTTTTTCCGTAAAGTGTGCCGAAAAATATACTGCTTTAAAACAAGAGGAAGTAGAAAAGAGAGATTATGTCAAGCAAAAGTCATTTTTTCGGTGCCTAATTTTTTTTTCTCAACGTGGCTTGATGAATTTTGCAAAATAAGATAACTATAGAAGAGCGCTCTATTCTTAGTTTTGGAAAAAAAAAAAAAAAAAACCGGAACATAACCTCACCTTCTCACATTCTCTTAAGATTCAAGCCTAGAGTTTTTTGGTCTCTTGATTTACGCAGAAATAAAGTTTAAAAAAAAAATTTATAAATACTTGGATATGGTTTGTCCAGCAAATTTAATTTCGGCCAAAGAACGTAACAAACCTAAAATTCAACTCTTTTGAAACTATGTATTTCGTATAGTCAAGAACTCCAACGTTCTGTGTAATAATCTTCAATATCATAATTTATACGTATGTTCGAATGACAGTATGTTAATCAATACTGATTTAGACTCGACCATTTTTTTGACGATCGAAGTTTTATTAAGCTTCTGAAAAGGAAGCTGTGCAATCTTAACGATTGAATTGCATGTGGGTTAAACATTTATGCGTAAAAAAATAAAGTTACTCCGAGAAATATTCTCTTTTCTTCTCATATTTTTGGAGTCAAGTAGAAAATAGTCCCCTCCCTGCTCAGTTGCAGTAAGCTACAGCATCTGTTCGAAACTTACAATTGTATTTACACTTTAAAAACTTTCGTGTTTTTTTTTTGTTTTTTTCATTAATAACAAGGGAAGAAACACTTTTGTCAAAATAAAAGAAAAAAGTATACATATTTGTCACTCGATTAATTTTCATCGATAAAAAAAATATTGTAAATATATTCATATGGAAAGGGTTGAAGCCTACACGCCCTTCACTATTTATACGTGTACAATAAAATTGCGAGGTTAAACCGTAAAGATATATTACAAAGTATTCAACGCTATGCGTACTCTTGTTTGATAACAAAAATTTTCTTTCATAACCTCGCCACTTCGGTTCAACAATATCGGGCGAATCTCAACATGATGAATGCACGGGGTTAATCTCGCTTTTCTGACTTATTCACAAATAACTGTCATAAACGCCATTACCGCGATACCCATGAGCAAAGCTCCAAACTGCTTCAGAGACTCCCACGGATTAGTTTCACTCAACAGTTCTGGTAGAACCGAGACCAAGCCTATGTGAAGAAAACTGCCTGCCGTGAAGGGAAGAATCCAACTTGTTTTTGACTCTAAAACATGGAAAAAAAAAATGTTCTTGATTATTTTAACGCAAAAAAAAGGAAATGATAACTTTTATGAATTTTAGCTATGATTGAATTTTTTAGCTGATTACATTTATTATTTTTAATTAATAATCATACAATTTTCAAGTGATTAAGGTAAATGTCCTTATTATGATTAAAAATTTTATCACACTTGCTTATTTCATTTTTTTCTCTTAATTGTGAGCTTTAATGGTAGAAATTTTAATTTATGCCAGTGCATTATGAACTTATTATTATTATTCTAATTTTTAAATTAATTCTCAATTGTTGAATTACCTTCTTTTATAAAAGGGTTACAAGATCAAAATGTACATACCTACAAAAACATTATACCTTTTGCTTCGAACCATAATTATGTTCCTACTTATAAAACTTTTTAAAAACAATTTTAGTATTCAGTTTCAAAACAATTAGTTTGCACACTTTTATAACATTATTATATTAAACAGAAATGGTTACAACGTTTATTTGTTCATTAGAATCATTTTGATTACTCGTTGAAGTTTGGTACCATAATATGTACAGTTAAGATAGGTTATGTTCAATTTTGTTACTATTTATACATGGAATCATCTTTAGAATTTGTCGTTTATTATATGTTATTTAATTAAAAATCATAAAACTTAAATATGTCAATTATTTCATGATTTTGCGCGTATGATCAAATTGGGGAAGCTTTGTCCTCTTTAATCAAACAAAATTCTGCTATGCCTAATAACACTAAACCTTTATTTGTCTCTAGTTTTTCAAACACAATATCGTATGCTCAATTTGTTGGCGATTCCACTTGAATTATTTTTAAATACAAAAAAGAAATATGTTGTATGACTGAGATCTTTTGTTATTAAGGTCCATTTAAGTCAGTTAATAAAGATTGATAAAAAATTGACTCAAATAAATTGCAAGGCCAAATCGACTTGATCTCAGTCTTGGACAGAAGTTGAGATTTAGCAATGAAAATTGTGATGATACCGCAAATAAGTTACAGATTTGATTCTTACCAACTTCATCGCCGGAGAATATAACCGCAACAAAAGCACCGCACATGCCACCAGTGGCAGTAAGCAGCTGTGCTTTAGCTGCGTCCCACCTACTGAATCCACTTCTAAGGAGGATGGCGAAGTCACCAATTTCATGAGGTATCTCATGGATGAGGATAGCAAAGGTGGTCAGGGCACCTATGCGGAATGAAACCAAAAACGAGCCACCAACGGCGAGACCGTGGGTGAAGTTGTCCACGCAATTAGCCATCAAATTTAGATAGCCGGCGATATGTTTTGGCCGATCTTTAGTTTGTTCATTGTCAAGCTTGTGCTCGTATATCTGTTTATCTGTGTAAATTACGAAAATTAGGTATTTTTACAAGCCTCCTCAATAAAAAATTATAAGCTATTATTTCACGTATATAATACAGCTATATTCACAGCTATAACCAGCTACAATAATAGCTATGATTGACTGCAAAGTAGCTATAATCATGTACAAATAATAACTATAAAAAGTAGTTGTTTACAGCTATAAATTTCTAGCAAATTTTAATTAACAGAATTTATTCAATAATCTTTTTTTTTGTAAGGTATATCAGCCATATAAGGTGATATTATCCGTATAATAACACTAAAACTGGGGGGTTCACGTATTTTAGAAAATAATAATAATAAAGAAAAAAATTTTACATTTTACTTTTTTTTGTTTATTGTTAAAAAATCCTTGAACTCCCCAGTTTCGGTATTGTTATACGGATTATAGCATCTATTAAGGGCTAATATACCTGATAAAAAGAGTGTTGGATAAATTTTATTGTTTAAAATTCACATAAAATTTATAGCTGTGAACAGCTACTTTTTATAATTATTGTTTGTACATGATTAAAGCTACTTTATGGTCAATTATAGCTATTATTGTAGCTGATGATAACTGTAAATATAGCTGTAATTCATAGGTAAAATAATAGCTAATAATTTTTTACCGAGTCAAACTATTTTTATTAATTTGTAAAATTATTATCTGGCTTATGTGTCGATCAAGAATTTACGAGATATTATATCATCGTTTCCCAAGCAAACATTAAAATAAACTAATCCTTAGCCATGCAAATAAAGCTCATAATCTCGTTGTTGTTTATAATAAAACATTCATGACATCTTATTGATACACACTAAAAAATGGTCAATAATTTTAGCGAAATTTATTGCTGCCTACCATAAAATTTGGCTGAATCCTTGAGGGCACAAAAACCATTGCTCGTAGGTTTAACACCGTTGGATTGGATGATTCCGTTCACGTGACCGTTGACAAAACCATTGGACAACTTCCGCAAACATTTGGCGGCTCGTTCTATCTCAGCTTCATTGCAAATCGCACCATTGGTTTTTTGCACAACATTGTTAGCAAAGCCATTCTTAAAGGCCTCGACGCGCTCATAGTTGTTGTTCTCGAGCGTATCGACGAGCTTCTTTTCGTTTTTATTTTCCGTGGGAGTCTCGATATCCTTTTTTTCCGGCCCGCTGAAGATCATCTCAGCGATGACGAAGACCAGAAAACCCATGAGCACCCAAAGACCGCAGCCCATGGTCGCGTGATTGTGGACCCTGCCGTTGATTTGCTCTGCAAGAAAAATTAAAAAGTTTTTGTTGGTGTGCAGCTCGGCTGACAATAAAACCCATATAAGCTGGTTGTGCAGGTGCTCTGACAGTAAAAATAACCACGTTTATTTTTACTCCCAATTATGTCACCTTTGAGCTATTTTTGCCCGTTAAATCCAAACGCTTGGATCACTAATATTAGACTACAAAATTTTCAATAATTTTTATAGTTGGCTTAAAATATTATTTCTTAACACCATCGTTGAGCAAAGAACTACGTTAAATTCTATGTTATTTATGATAACACTAGTATAGTATAAAAATAAAAATTAATTTTTTTCGTAAGCCATATAATTTTTTAACATTTTTTAAAGAGCACGATTCGAACTCTTAAAGTATTTGAATAATGCCTAAAAGTGCTTGCATTGTGAGTCACTGTTGCAAGAGAATACCTACTTGAGGTATTTTTTTGAACTTATTTATGCAGCTTTGATAAATATTTTTCACAAAGTAATTCAACAAAACAGTTTTATTTCATCTCTTGGGCATATTTTTACTTCATTCATTTGTTCTTGATTTTAAATAACAAAGCAAAAATAAANTTTTTAAGCAAATTTTGTAAATTGTTTATTTTGTCCCGGAAATTTTTTTTTTAGGATCTTTGGACTATGAACAAAAGGCATCTCTTACAAATTTTCTCTAAAGTTAATACTTTCTGAAATATTAATTATTAAGTTCGAAAAAATGCAAAAATAGTTATTCAAAGTAATTCAACAAAACAGTTTTATTTCATCTCTTGGGCATATTTTTACTTCATTCATTTGTTCTTGATTTTAAATAACAAAGCAAAAATAAATCTGACTAACCAATAACACACTTGATGTAACCTATAGCCGTAAATGCCCGTTTTTTTAAAATTTACGGTTGCCATACTATTTTATCGTGATCGATTTAACTTCGATTAATTATTGTGTAAAAAACGATTAAGCTATTTTGTATGCAATGTCTACGTTCACAAAGATATATTTAATAAAGTGTTAGTTTTTGATGCAAACTGTAAAAATATTTTTGGGTGTACTAGTAAAAATATAACTTAATCAGAAGCTTTCCCTATACCTTACCACATTAAAAGGTCAAACTTTTAACAAAAAATTCTGAATACCGTCTCACTGGGACTTTTTAAATTTTTAACTACACATAGATGACAGAAGAAAATATTCTCAAAGTTTTAATAAAACCGTAATAAAATAATTTTTCGTGTACTATTACCACAATGTTTTATTATATGCTCTGTGTCAAATGAAATAATAGAACAATGATGAATGCTTACCATTGTTGGCTTCGATGTGATTCGCCCAAGCTTCCGGTAAGATATGAAGAAAAACATCGCCCAACAAGCCTCCAACAGCAAAGCTCAGTAGAAGTTTCAACGTTTTTGAACCAGCTGTAATGTAAACAAAGCTTTATAAAATATATCATTGATACAAACGGAAAATTTATTTTCAAATGTTAACAGATTGAAAAAATATTTTATGTAAACAACGAGACGAAAACGAACCTGATAAAATTAAGTTGAACTTTCTGTAATCCAAATTAATCTTATCAACTCCTCAAACAAAGTCCCTAGAAGCAGAGATGCTTATGATAAGACCACCAGGCGTTAAAGGTCAAGGATTATAAACAAATTTAACAAAGCTTATGCAATATTTTTACTTGTTTTAAGTTTAAATTTTTCAAAGAATATTGATCCACTTAGATTAAAACTACATATTTCAACTAATAATGACTTACAATTAGTCAATTTATTTTAGAACTATTTTCTTTATAGCAGTGATGAAACATGAGTCAACACAACTTGATATTTTCGTCATTCGCTATAAATTAATTCCAGTATATTGAATGTAAAAAATGTTTGATCAAACAGAAAAAATATTTTTTTTCGCTGTTTACACTGTGCAAACGAAGATGTAGTCCTTGATCTCTTTTTGTATTATTATGGATGTACTAGTGGTTATACTGTGACTGGTAAGATTTTAATTCTGACAAATTTTTTTCAGACATAAAAATCATTAATAAAGCTTTAAGCAACAATGTTCGAGTATTTAAGATTTACAAAATTCTTAGTGAATTAATTGATAAAAAAATCAAAGATATTGTTTAAAAAGTCTTATTTTCCACAAAATTTGTAAAAGATTTAAAAAAATTTTGTCTTTACACCAAAAAGTGTAATCTTAAGGTAATAGTTATATTTGTTATCAGCCACAGACAGTTACCAATAGTATTTATTTCATGGAACTAAGGCTATATAAGAATCATATTAAAACTTGAATTATGAACTTTGAGTATTGGAATTTTGGGTAAGAGTAAATAAAATTGTATATTAGTATATGTGCCTATATATTTGTGTACGTAATCTTCAAGATTTTTATTTAAGATACGAGAAATATTAGATCCTCCTAACTATGTGTGGATAAAAGCTACAAACTCTTACGTAAAGGTGAAACTAAATTCATACGTAATCGGAGTTTTCATGAAAAATTGATGGATATGTAATAGCAGGAAACAAAAAAGATTTACATTAGAAGTACGTGTTTTACATAGATTCTGAACTTGATTCCGACTTCTAAAATTTTATAATAATAGCTTTGTATTACCAAAAAAAACTGTTTCCATCTAGCTAGAGCTTTTTCATATATATGATCATGCACGTATTAAATGCATGTATGATTATTTTAATGATGGAAAGACTAGTTTTTAGAACAATAAAGTGTTTTATTTAAAACAAATTCTAAAGTCTTTTTCATTTTTCGACAGAAGGAAACACATTTCTAAGTTTTATCTGAATCAGAAATTTTTAATCTTGCTACTCTCCTGAGGAGTTGTTGGATCAATGTTATTTTAATTTAAAGAAAAGAATGTACCTTGCTTGATTGAGTACAAAATAAATAATAGATAGAAGTGCGATAATAAAATCCTTTTTGTTTTTTTAATGTACTGAAAAGTATAGACTGTGACCAATAAAATAATAAATTATATTAAGTAACGATAACGATCTTCAAGATAAATACATCAAATATTTATTTTATGCGTTGTACACACACTTCTATCTCCATGCAAATATTGTCATCCAACTTTGAACAAGAGTAAAAAGACAATCAAAAAAAGAACAAGAAAATATGAACTACGATAAGTACGAGGATAAGTATGTGATGTGGTAAAAAGCTATGATAAACTACGTACCAAATTAAGTAGAAATATGTATAATTCATATAATGTCATATAAAAAAAAATAGAACTTGAAACGGAAAAAAATGTAACAACCATTATAAACTATTTTAGACAGTATTAGTTTAGCTATAAAATAAAATTCGTGAGTGTGTTTATTAAAATTTCATACTTAAAGTCTTTCTATTCAATATAAATAAATTCGTAAGGTCAAAACATACTTAATTGACCTATAACACTCGGTCATATGCATACATTTGGAATGTCATTTACAATAGACTATAAGTCAAAGTAGCTGAAAGTCAAAGTAGTTTTCAAAGGCTTGCCAACTTTGCAAATTCATATTAAAAAAGTGTCAACATAAAAAGTACCATATATAAATGAGCAAAAAAGCATCAGCACATGTTTTATGTATCACTTACGGATATGCGACGTATCTATACACAAATAAAATTGCAAAAAAAAAAAAAATTGCCACGCATATCGTGCTCTATCTCTTGTATTCCTCACCACGTTCGCAGATTAAAAATTCACGCTACTCATGTAAGTGCTTATCGACATTTTTTTTTATTCAGAAGCGCAATATACGATGCATAAGCAGAGCTGTAGTGTAATGATTCTCCGAAACGTTATCGTTAAGGCTTTTTTTTATCGCTAGTTTGAGGAAAGCGAATTAATACCTATGCGCCTATACGCATGATTATATCAAATGGAGCACGAGACGATTCATTATTATGATTATTGCGCGTCCCATTGTATTATATACATTGTACAAAAATATGCGAGCCAGATGAATCATCGCGGGCGTGCATAGCTGCATCGCCGATACAGCGAGTCTTTTATCGTTGCTGGGAGAACACATCCTTTCTCTTTTTGTGCACTGCGCTCGCTTTCGCTCGGATGGTAATTATGTTGTCGAGTACAGTACCCGGGTGTCAATAGCTGCTGCGCAATTCTAGAGGATGTCTTTTCACGCAACTACGTATAGAGTATTATAAACACTGAGAGAAAAAAATAATAAAAATTACTATGCTGGGATGGTCATCTGGTACTGTTCGGTCGTCTAGAGACTTTTTACTATTTGAACAATTACTTTAAGTGTTTAGAACAGTAGTTTTTGTTGCAAGTATGTAGTGATTTTTACTGTTTGTACAATAGATATTACTGTCTGGAATGGTAAAAATTGGGTTGGCCAAAGTAAAAAGTCCCTAGACGGCAGAATAGCACCAGATTACCATTCCAACACAGTAATTTTTTTTTTCTTTCTTTCAGTGAATTGATGAAAATTCATGAATGAATATTAATTGCAATTTTTGTGTAGAAAAAAAAAGTCACAGCGTATTTAATTATTCGCTCAAAATGGCTTGGCTCGGTGGAATTTCACAAAGAAAGTGTACTATTTGCAGCCGAGTGAATCATTTGTTTTGACGTACAAATGAAATCATTCTTAAAATACCATACTTGTGTTTTCAAAGAAGGAGTACAAAATTGCGCTTTTATTTTTTTTGTTCGCTTAAAGAAATATAAAATTGTCCAAGGAATTTTAAATGCTTATGCAAAACGATAAAAATTACTGAACAAAGAGAAGAAGAAATTCTCTTGTTTGTGGTTTTCCAGCAATTTTATTTTCATTTATTTTTCTCTTTTGGCACAAGCTAAAAAGAAAAAAATATATATAACCGTTCAAAATAAAGAAAAGTTAATATAATAATTCAGAATACAGACGCGCGTATTTTTGCAATCAATTTATTGATAAAGCACCGAAAAATTAAAAAAAATCGAGTAAAGGCTTGACATCAAAGACAACATTCCAGGAAGAATAGCAGTTACGTCAATAGCGCAAAATTAAGAGCGAGTATATAGAAGCTGCGCAAAAGAGAGGCAAGTAAGTAAACACAGCTTCCTTGTTGCGGTTTTTCCATCGCGCAATTAATAACCGACTTGAGCAACTCGACGGAGAGAGAGAGAGAGGAAAAGACGAAGGAAAAATGGCCCCGCGCCACTTTGTCAGCTGAAGACGCAAGCTTGAACTTTAAGCTGTCCATCTGCCAAGTTCGAACGCAAGTTGGACAATAAAAAAAGAGTCGCTCTCGATTCGAGATTCAAAAATGAAACAAGCGCTTGATCGGCAGATCGATCGAGGCGGAGACACAACATTGTGTTGCTCATTTTGTATACCAGTGGTGTTGCAGGGGAAGCACAAAGCTTCCTCGTTTTCCCGCTGCATACAAATATATTGTGTACAACGTACCGCGCCGCTGCTCTCTTCGGTTGACCTCGTGCTTGATTGACGTGAATGACGGAGAGAACAGTCCGCAGAGATATGTGTGTCTGGATGTCTCATAACGCTTACGCACAATATGTATGTGTGCGGAGTGTGCTCAGTCCGTTGACACAGGATTTGGTGTATTGTTGTGAGAGCTAGTGACTTTTCGAAAATCTACAGAGTATCTTAATAGTAGTGTTGCATTGTGATCCTTATTTTTCCGGGAAAAAACTTTTTGGCAAGGGTTGATATGAAGTTCTTCTATCACTACGTAGGGTAGATGGCCCTGTTTTCGAAAGTCTGGATGCTTTAAAGTTTATTATAATATATGATGTATGTTGCTCTATTATTATTGATTATTTATTATTAATTTATTTCTATTACTAACTGTACTGAATCTGCCAATAAATTAATTATTGACACTAAAGTTATACATTTTGAATGTGCGAAGGCAGATGCTAATTAAAACTTTGTAAATTTCTTAGGGTATTCCTATTATTACATAATAATAATAAAAAAAAAACAACTTAAAGTATGAAACTCAACAGATAAATTATAACATCATAGTTATTAATGTATTTATGACGTTTGACCCTTGATAATAATGGGGTCGTTTGCCCCTAGATATGTACTTTCTAAGAGAAGAAATAAAAAATTTTTAACTTTAATTTAATAGTAGATAATTCATTAGTGGTAAGAATAAACTGCAACCAATAAAAACAAAACAAAAGTACCAATTATTCGATACTAAGTATATTAAAAGACTTCAATTTCGATTAAAAATACGGTCGTGTAACAATCAGTCAAGTACATCAAGTTTATAATTGGATACGCACAAATGATTGATGCTTAAGAGATGTGCGTCGTATTTTATGATTTTAAACCTGAAATTTAAATACAATTTTAAATTTAAAGCTAACCAGTTACAAGAAATCACAAGCGACATCGCGGCA